ATTGAAAAGCATAAACAACACACAAGAATTATTAACCCAGTTCAGAACAACCTTCCTACTTTGGGGGCATACCAAGCCAAGGATAAGTCCACAAAAATAGTATCAATTCATAGACCCTACAACAAAACCCCAATTTATAGCCTAATCACTTAATCACTACCCTTGCTAGACTTCTATCTAAGACTCGCCTAGATATGAGGCCCTCCTTAATCCCTCTTCAATCACAGACACCAATTGGATCAAAATAGGAAGATATGCTTCCATGACAGCAAAACAAAAGACACACTTCCATGACCATACCTAGACAAGACTCTTGACTAAGAACACAACTTGGAGTTTCTTACAAGCTTCCTCCAAGAACAATATTGAACTCATTACTTCACAGCTTCTGAGTGAGAACACATTGGCCATCTCACAACTCGAGTGATTCACACATACCAATTCTTCTAGAGAGTAGCACAAATACGAAGCCCTAATGATTCTACATCTTGGACCAGTTCCTTTCCTAGGTTACTAAGACTTATATTTATAACATATACCCAGCTGGATTTGGGCCTTCAAAACACAACTTTTTGGCGGTTACATATCAATAGTAACTTCTGCTACAAACAAGGTCTTCAATCATTGGTTCCTAAAATATCTCTGCATTTAGAAACTACATATTCTTCAATATTTTGACTTGATTCTTCTTGACCTTTAAATCAGTGCCACATAATATTGCATAATATTTTTAGAATATTATGCATCTGTTAAATCATAACTGAATCCACTAATTCAGCTCAGCTAAGGCACGATGTTGTATGCTCCTTCATAGGACATCTTATCCGACATGTTGCTCCAGATGTTGAAATACTTCAACTCAATATATCCCAACATAAAATGGGACTTCTTGCTTAATATGTTCTTCATAGTAAGATGACACATCCTATTTAACATATTGTTGTTATATTTGTTTTACAAAAATTAATGTCAATCTTAAAACTAAGGAATTTATAGGAGACATGCACGGAATTGGAGGACTCAATCAAGATTGACACTTCTAGGAAGATCAAGCTTGAGGGATTAATCAAAGCTTTAATGAAGGAAGAGAAGAACCAGGTTGGAGCTGGTAGTGCTGCTGCTGCTGACAGTGGTGATTCTGCATGTAATGAATCTGAAGGGAGTGATGATGCTGAAAAGAGTTCATCTGAGGGTGATGATACTGAAAATGTTGCTTTTGATGGTGACAATGTTGATGGTGAAGGAGAAGAATATGAGACTACTGATGATGCTGATGCTGATGCTGGTGCTAACTCTGATGCATGACTACTGATTTGAAGTTTATTTCTCTATTTTTGGTTGTTGATTTTCGGTTGCCTTTTGGTTTTTTAAGGGTTAAATGCCCAGACATATTTTAGCACCTTGTGAGCATGTCGTGCTACTTTTGTTATGTGCTACAGTGGTTCTTTTGGGTGATATTCTTACCTTTGTCATATTCTGGCTAAAAAGGAGGAGTAGTATAACCACTAAATAACCACTAACTGACTACCTGTGCTATTGAGAGAGAGAATTTTGATTCTCTATTGATTATGTGTTGCTACTATTGAGGGAGAGAATCTTTTGATTCTCTTATATGCTACTTAGCAGCTCTGAAGGGGAGTTTTGTTTCGGTTTGGACTGGCAAGGAGAGATGTCACATAAGATGTCTTGACATCAATATGACTGACTGAGAATTTATTTTTCTTAATATTGTTACGTTTGCAGATTCCACTGATTGATAATCTATTATTTTTTCTGCTGCTCATATCTCTGATATTCTGATGTGTGTTTTTGATTTATTTTCAAACCTATGTTTTTGTTGGAATCTGAATTATGGATTGTTAATTTGTTTTAGCCAAAATTTTCCAAAGAGGGAGATTGTTAATTCTCTATTTTTATGATTGGCATTAATTTTGATAAAATTAATTTGACAACAACATGTTAAATATGATGCTCTAACTTGAAGAGAAAACATGTTGAACAAAATGTCCTATCCAGATCATTCGACATCTTGTCTGTTACAGTTGTACACTTGGATTCAGTTAGTTATAAGGGGTTCTAAATATTATCGGAATATTAGGTAATCCTATGTGGCGTCCAAGACTAAGGAATCATAGATTCTATTTGAACTTAAAAGATTAATTTGTTTATCTAAATATTGATACATTTTAGGAAACATATGATTGAAGTCATATTTTCATGCAGAAGTTTCTGCAGATTTTGAGCAACTGACTAACTGCGTTTTTGAAGCCCAAACCCGTGCTATCGCACGAGTCTTGTATGTATCACATTACATGTCTATCAGACCATTATTTATAAAGTATGAATTCATTCTTCAATTGGTTGACATTCATATAGTTACAAATAGAGGCTAGTAACACGCACTTGCTTTTTAAGGATTGATTCGTACTTATAATAAATCGTATAATTGATTCTCTAACTTCAATTATATTAAATAGTAGCAAAATAAATATTTAAAAGATGGACATTAAAATTAACAGTCTACAACTGATATTTCATATATACGTTCACATCTACCCGTGAATACAAATGAATTGACAAACCCCACTTGAATCCAAATGAGTTCATTCTTAAAATTTATTAAACCAATTTTAGATATTAGCCCATTTTTCCAAACCTAAAATGTATGACACCTTCCCGTCAAATTTCAATTTTAAAACTTTCTTATTATATCACACTTACATTTTTTACAACCTACAATATATGACAGCTTACCATAAAATTACAAACCTAAAACTTTCTTATTAGATCATATTTACATTTTTTACAAACATAAAATGTATAGCACCCTGTCAAAATATAATAAACTATATAAAATATGCTCATACAAATTCAACATGGAGATTAAAATCAAATGTATAACCTAATCTTCAATAACAATCTTCAAAATAATAAAAAAATTAATCATATATAAATTCATTGTAAATTTTTATAAATAAAAATATAAGTTAAAAAACAAAAAAAAAATCATCAATTTTCTATTAAAAATATGAGAGCGGGCCAAAACTTTTTAAATTTAAAATAAAGAGATTATTTTCGTGAATCAAATAAAATTGGAGATTAAAATTGTAATCTAGCTTTTTATATTTTAGATAAACCAAGTATTTTGACAAAAAAAAATTATTAAACCTATTTTAAATATTTTTGGTATCATGTCAACCTTATTTTCAAGGATAATATATATTTTTATATTTTAAATATTTTTAAGTATTATGTTACCTTGTTTTCATTTTCCTTACTGCTTTTAAAAATCTGTGTAGCAAACAATGAAAACAAAAGTCATTTTTGCCTATTGATTTCACTATATCAAAAACTAAAAGCAGGAAACAAAATGAAAAAAGGTGGTGCTTCTATAACTAATAGTGAAACATGAAATAAAAGTAGAGAACACTTTCTCAAACCAAACATGTCCTTAAATTGTTTTTTACTTTCATGATACATTGAACTCCATATTGTAGTTATGCAAACTAACTTTATTCATTTAAGGTTCTACACCACAGACTTTCAATTTTTTCAATTATCCAATCTTTGCAAAGTGGTCAAGCACAAATCTACATCTTAATGGTTCTTTTCTCCGAGAGCACAACTTCTTTTATAAACTTAAGATGGTAAGTCTATTGTCAAGACATCCATTCACTTGCATTAACTTTAGTCAACATTGATTTATTACATTAGTTACACATATACACGTAACTAATTTCATCACATTCAAATTTCATACACGTGTATCCACCATATTTACAAACCCCACCCTTGTTTGAAACTACACAAAAAACCAAACCAAATTAACAATACCCTTCAACTAACATTAATCAAGTCAAACCATTCTTGTTCACCTTCAAGTTTTATACTACTATAATAGCTTACCATACTATAAAACCAACCTTTCGTACTATTTTCTAAGCCAACATAAATAAAAAATCCACAATCTAGAAAGGATCACACCGCTAACACCAAATTTTGAGGGAAGTTAGTATATCTCACTGTAACATTCTTGTCAAGTTAACATTTATTAGAAGACAACAATATTTTGCTACTACTATATCATCATATTCATATCAAACAAAAACGTCAATATCCTAAAAGACAGAATATTTTTCCTAGTCACCACATTTTGAAGCTTCCATGTTTTCATCTTTTCTCGACTTGCCAAATGATTTATGAGCTTCCGATACAGGCGACATAAAAATGTCATTGCTCAACTTGTCAGTTTCACGGGGACTCTATTTTAGCATCTGGGGGACTCATTTTGCAACAATATTTTAGCATTCGGGGACTATTCTTAGAAGATACATTTATCTGCACTTGGTACCTTTTTTAGAGCAGTTATACAATGGGCCTGGAAGTCTATTAATCGTGTAGGCTTCAAAAACATTTGGTCCTTCAACAGTTTGCAAGGCTTGTGCTATGATGGCCTCAGTATCTGCATTGAACCATTATCCTAAAACCAAAATTCAAGACTATAATTAGCTTATGCAAATTTAAAAACAAAATAGACCTAAAGGTTAATCATGCATATTATAATTCTGCATTGTAACTTTGGCTATAACCCACCCGACTGCTATAAGGGACATATCTACACAAAAATCCATATTTATAGCTATATTTCTTTAAGCCCTCTTTTAGAAATAAAACATAAAGAACTAAAACTACTAAATTCTGAAGGGTTTTACTTTGTAGTATAGCTTAATGCTAAAAATAATTTCCATTAACTATGCATATAAATAATGTTTGGAAAGGCTAGTAATATTTAATGCAATCTAAAAAGTTAAACCCTTTTGTCCCCGCTTCACCTTTTTAAGAATCAACTGTCTCATGTGTTTCAAAAATTCTTCAATGAAACATTTGGTCCAACTGAGAATAAGTTATTTTAACAATGGTCTTCATGATGTATTGGTACAACTCCATCACCAGGTTCTTTATCATCTTGCACCATTACCATTTGATCTACATTTTGTAAGCTATAAAGCAAATCTTTTACCTTTTGAAAAATAAACAATCAACATGTTTCAGTCATGATGATAGTCAATGTGGCAGAAATTGAATATTTAACAAATTGAGAGTAAACATACCAATGATCCATACGCTAACTTGTTCTGGATTCACAACCTTCAACAACATTCTGGAAAAACCACCGCAAGATTTCAAAATTCTTAACTCGATTAAATTGTATCCAACAAATCATCAACTACTTAAGATTTATAAATATTAAAACACTACACCAAGACATCAGCATAATTAAACTTAAAACATAACAAAATACTTGCTTAAACTACGTCTAGCAAAATATAGAACTCTATTATGCAGAGTATCCATTGCTACTAACTGGTTATTTCTTGCAAGATCTACTCTTTATGGATAGATTGTGTCCTTTATTCATTAGTGAATTTCTCGATTATGTAAAGGTTGAGCCCATTTGTCAGAGCAAGAGTTGTTGTCAATGAAGTTTTAGTATGCTTAAACCCTGAAATATCAAATCAAATAACATAATTATATTTATTTTAATATAATTTTATTAGCATAAGATAACTTAAATAGCCTTTGCTGACTCTGCTCTCCTCGCTCTTTATAACACTACAAAAACAAAGAGAGATTCATATTTTCTTCTTCTTTCAAATAATGGCAATTTCAGGAGCAGAGTCACAATCACAAACTCAAACTTCTACCACTATGGTTATAAAGACCGTTAACCACAGAAGTTGTATGTGTGAAATGTGACTCATACGGATTCACAGAAGATGCACACCAGCATACATCTCGAAAGTTTGAAAAAGATATCAAGGTATATGGCTCTGTGGACTCTGCATTGAAGCTGTCAAAGACGGAGTTGTTAGATCAAATAGACATATCACCATTGAAGATAGATTAAATAATGATGCAAGTAATATACTAAAATTTCAAGCACAACCATACTTTTTTCCTACTGAGAGAAAAAGGAGTTGTTGTCAAAGAGAAAAAGGAGTGGGAGTGGTGAAACGAAATCTGATTTTGATAAATAAATAGATCTATGGAACTCCATCCGCCACTTCCTCTTATTCAATTCCTATCAAACAAAAACTCCAATTCGATTATAACCCAACCCTAAATACCAAAATTGAAACCACAAAAGTAGATGAAAAAATGAAAAACCTTACAGCAACAGATAAATTTGACATAGCCACGAGCATGTTTGTCGCGACCACCATTCGTATGCTTGGAGTCTAAAACAAATAAATTAATAGGTTAGGATGAGAATATCAGATGTAAAATCATGGTTGGGATTGCAACTGAATGAAGCATACCTGCGAAAATGGAAACTTGATGTTTGGAAGAAGAGATTTAGGATTTAAAGGATGTAATAAATGAACAACTTTGAATTTGAAGGGGAATATGTTTTACAGGAAAATGAAACATGAGTAATGATGGTTGAGTGAGAAGTTGTGTGGTTGCATATCATCAATGGGTTATTTGTTGCATCTTGGGAAAACAAATTTTTGATTGGAAGTCGTGAGTTATCGTTTCAAGAACTCAACATTTATGCTGGCTATTCAAATTGAGTTGCCACTTTAAATGTTGCAACAGAAATATAATTAGGATTTAGTGGAATAATTAGTAGAATAAAAATAAATTAAAATCCAACAAAAATTATAGTTGTGCCACATCAACGATATTTAATGCCAAATAAATATAAAGACAGCAAAATTTGAAAAATCAATTTTAACCCTTATAATTAGATTAAATAATATTTTTAATCAGAAGGGATATTGTGTAATTTCCAAATACTTTTATATTTATATATTTATAATAGTTTTTTTTTTTTTTACAATTATTTATTGTTTCTTTTGTTTCCAAATTAAATCCTTTCATTTCCTAAACTCAAATGCGATGTATCTCTTGAGTTTTCAAGATTTCAAATATCACTCCACCAAATTTTTTTGATTTCCCATCATCTCTCTCAAGTTTTCCGTAATCTGTTTCACCCTTCTTCTTTCAACCATCTTTATTTTTGTCTCTTTTGTGCTATTCTTTTCTACCAGTAACACAGAGGGAACAGAATCTAACACAATTGAATTCACAAAAAAGGATATAAGGTTTTGTTGATCTTAATTTTCTAATCGTATAAAATTGTTGTTTTCTATGGAACTTATTTGAGATTGGAATGGTTTCCCTCTTTTGGTTGTGCAGAAAAAATGGAACAGATGGTGGATCTTATTAAACGCCTTAAGCTTTGCGTCAATGAAAATGAAAAACTTCATTCTGATACTGATATTTCCTTGCTTCTAACTTTTGTGTTAATGAAATTGTGATGGGATGTTTACTTTCAAAACTATAGAAACTAACTATAATTGACTAATAGATTGCTGCATTTTCTGTGTTATACAACGTTGATTGCAAATTTTCTTGCTCAAACATAATGCAACATATTTTTGACTTTGAGATTATCTTTTTTCTAGGATGCATTGATTGTTAAGTTTCTTTTGTTAAGTTTTAATTGGGTTTAACTCATTATGAGAAATCCTAACCTAAAAATGATTGTTATTAAATCACTTCAGGTAAGTCGTAAGATAATTGATATCAAATGGGACTTAATAAAATTCACATACACTAATTGAAAAGAAGAGATAGTAATTTGATAGCAAACTCATTTGTTATTTCTAACTTGATATATTTCTCTACATGTACATAATGCATGTCTTTTATAGACTTCTCTATGTTTAACAACTAAATTACTTTGTCTTGGGCACTATGGCGGTGATGAAAACGGCCCACTAGTATTTTTTCTTAATTTGTAAGTTTTAATGTTAATGAACAACACATAGGGCTTCTAAGTTCTTATAGGCAAGACTACTTTAATTTTCCAACTCTTCTCATAGCTTCTACATAATTTCTACATCATGCTTGATTTAATTATTTCAACATTACGTCTCTTAAATCAAGTTTGCATTATTCTAAACAATTTTCTTGAACTTATAACTCTGTCAGCTCTTTATTAGTTCTTCTCAATTGAATTGATTTCTTCATTTATGATTCTTTTTAATTTAATTTTCATCATTTACGGCTTCTTCAAAAATAAATGGTTCACAATATGCAAATAAAGTAAAGTTGATAATCTCTTCATCAGATGGGTCATTATCATTATCTAAAATATAATATTATAGTCTGGCTGGTAATCTATGTGGTCTTTGTTGTCTGTTGGATGTTTCTGACTCATTGATTGTTGTTTGTTGTCTGCTGGATGTTTCTGACTCATCAGGTGTTGAATTATATTCATTCTTCTCTTCATAATCATTTAAAATCACTACTGGATCCTTTTGTGACTTTGAGGACTAATCTCACATTTCTCCTTCATCAAAAGGCACATCACGATTAATAATCACTTTTTGTGTCTCTGGATTGTAGAACTTATAAGCATTTGAATTTGAATTGTAACCAACAAAGATACATCTATCTCCTTTGTCATCTAACTTCTTTCTTAATTGATCTGACACATGAGCATATGCAATACATCCAAAAACTCTAAGGTGTTGAAATGAAGGTCTTCTTCCACTTCAAGCTCCTTCAGGAGTCTTTTCTTGGACACTCTTTGTAGGACACCTATTTAAAATATAAACCACAATACCAACAGCTTCCGCCCAAAATTCTTTAAGCATATGTTTGACCTTTAACATGCATCTCACCATATCCATGATTGTTCTATTCTTACTTTCAGCAACTCCATTCTGTTGTGGTGTGTATCTTATTGTTAATTGATGCTCAATTCCATGTTTCTCAAAGAAACTTGTGCCAACAAGGTATTCTTGGCCTCTGTCTGTTCTCAATGCTTTGATTCTACAACCACTTTGTTTTTCTACAAATGTCTTTAATATCTTAAAGGCATCACAAGGTTCTGATTTTTGTTTCAAGAAATACACCCAAGTCTTTCTACTGAAATAATCAATAAAAGTAATAAAGTACTTACAGCCACTTGGTGTTGGTATTTCCACTGAACATAACTCTGAATGAATTATGTGCAACAACTTTTGCTCGCCAAGACATTCCAGTTAAAAATGAATCTCTATGCTTCTTTCCAGTCTGACAAGTCTCACATACTCCATTTGAAATATTCACAACAGACAATCCAAAAACATATTCTTTTCTCAACAAGTAATTCAAACCAGAAAAATGAAAGTGATCAAATCTCATGTGCCATAACCAATCATCATTTGGAATGATAGAACTCAAGCAAGGAAATCTTTCATGTTGAATTTTTAAAGAAAATAGGCGGTTCGGTGTCATTCTTACCTTTATGATAAATCTACCATTTCTGCAAATCAACGTGTAAAATCATTGTGAATCTGCATGTTGTAACCTTTCTTCGTCAATTGTCCCATACTCAAGAGATTATGATGAAGACCAGAAGCATAGAAAACATCACCAATAAAATTTTGAAATCCATCTTTTAACCTGATAGAAATTCGGTCTTTCCCCAAAATTAGAATATTTGAATTATTTTCAAACTTCACGGTAGACTTTACCGTTTCGTTTAAAGAAAATAATTCCTTTTCCCCACACATATGATTACTACACCCAGTATCCAGATACCAAATATTTTCCTCTTTTGAAAATGTATTACTTGTCAAAAATAAATTTTGTAGATTTTCAAAGTACTCACCGGTATTATTATACGAACTTTCTGTCACATTTTCCTGATGTTTGTATCTGCAATCAACCACTTTGTGTCCAAACTCTCCACAGTGATAACAACTATAATTCGTCATTTCTTGATTGAAGTTACCTCTTCCTCTGCCACGATATGTAGATCCAATACTATGACCACATCTTTCTTGTTGTACTGGATTGAAACCGTTGAAGTTGTTGTCTCTCTATTTGTTAAAGTTTCCACGATCTCTTTCATCATAATTTCCTCTTCCTCTGTTTGTAATTATTTTGACCTCTTTCTTCTACGGTACGACTTGACTCAAAAGTGTTGTTATAATTTATCTGACTCTTGAGAGCTTCTTTTACCATTTTCTCGGTCTTTTCTAATATTCGGTTGAGGTGACTTTCAACCCTTCCTTGTAACTCTGCTACATAGAAGGTGTTTGTGTCGTGTGACTGAATTATCGTAGTCACCACATGGTCAAACTTCATCGACATCGTACGTAGAATTTTTTCTACCATTTTACTATCTGGAATATCTTCTCCATATAGTCTCATCTTGTTGACGAGATTTATAACACGAGAAAAATATTTTTATACTGTTTCTGAATTAGACATTTCGTACCTTTCATATTCTCTACACAACGATTGTAGTTTTGACTTTTGAGCCTTCTCCACTCTTCTCCACTCTTTTATGTGATAACTTCAATATGTCTCACGCTTCTTTAGTAGTATTGGCATTTGCAATCTTCTTTAGCAGTCTTGTCAATTGCAATTTTTCCAAATGCTGAATAATTAATTCCTTGATGAATTTGTGAAAGTGTCAACTGGTCTTTTCTACGAGCGACTTCATCAACTTCTTGTTGTAAATCGGGATCCACAAAGCTCTAAATATTGTGAACTTTTAGATGTGTTGTCATCAAAATTTTCCAGTAACTAAAATCTAACTCCGCAATTAATTTTAGACCAGACCAAACAAAATTATAAATGTTTGCCATATCTTTTTCAAAAAATACTCACAATGACTTTTAATACAATGAAAACTCTTTTATTTCTCATACACTCAAGAATATTTTTAACATTCAAACTAACATGTTGAAATATTAAATTAGATTAGATTTGATTAGATTTAATATTTAATATAATCTAAGTTGTGTTAGCCCAAGCCTAATTAGGGTTTTATATAAATAGTCATAGTGTGTATCATTATTTGTACACTTGAATAATACAAATCCTTATTTCCTTTATTATTCTCTCTTTCTCTCCTCACTAAAAGTGCCTCACGCACTAACAAATTGGTATCCAGAGCTTTCGGTTATTGTTCTTGATCAAGTTTTCAAGAATTTCACGTCAGAGATCGTTTTTCTAGGGAAAGTAGATCAACCGCTGCGAAGATGGCCAGTGATAAGGGCATTCCAAATTCTCTTCCAATGCTTGACGGTAAAAATTGGATTCGATGGAAAAAACAGATGCAATCCTTATTTGGCTTCCATGAAACCCTAGAAGTGGTTACCGACGATGTTCTGGCATTGGCTACAGATGCAACCGACGAACAGAAAAAAGCCCACAACGAAGTCAAGAAAAAATATTGCAAGGCTGCTTATTGCATTCAAATGGATGTCGATGCTGCTAACTTCGACAGAATCTCTCATGCTGAAATAGCGAAGGAGGCATGGGATATTCTGGTAAAGTATTTCGAAGGAGGTGAGAAAGTCAAGGTTGTCAAATTACAAACCTTGCATCGATAATATGAGTTGTTGTCGATGGGAGAAGAT